GACATTTATATATTGCTGAAGTAACAACTAGGGGTTGCAACTATATAAAATTTTATTAAAATTTAAAATATTCAATTTAACTTCTATTGGATCAATTAAAGTTAAAAAGCTTTTACTAAAATTTAAAATGTGTGATTAAATTTTTTTAAAAAATTTCTAACTAAAATTTTATTGAACAATTAGGGAAGCATATCCTAATTACGCTACTTGTTTATTGAAGTTTAAATTGTTTAGTTAAGAATATTTGTCAAAATCAAGATAAATAAAATTAAAACTGATATATTTAAAAACTTCATTAATTTTTTTATTTATAAATTGTATTAAAATTAAAATTAATGTCTTCTACAATCTTTAATTATTTTTAGATTATTTACAAATAAAAAAAGAAGGAAAGATTTGAAATACATCCAAGATAAAAAATGAAGTAAAACCCAAGGGGAGGGAAGCGCAATTAATTAATGCCTTCTTGCTGCTCCTTCAATAGTTCCCTGGGGTATTCCCATGAAATTCTAAAGACAATTTTCACATACATTTTTACCTTCGGCTTGTTTCAATTAGGCAAATTAATTTTCAAAGTTTGGGCCAAAAGAGGCTGCCCATTTCATTTCCAATTTCTCACACAAAATAATTCATTTTCGCCTTTTTTTAAAGTCTTGAGAACATGCAAAATGATTATGAGTATTCAGATCCTATGTTCATTATCATCATCACCACATAATAAACAAATATCATATAAAAATTTCAAAGCCATATAACATCATGCAAAACCACTAAATTAATCAGTGCGGAAAAAAGAGATCTAACTTATTTTTTGAGTAAAGAGTTTAACTAGCAGACAATAGCCAAATTTGACTTTTGATATTCTCATTTTTGTAGTGCACAATACACATTTCACTATACTATGTCTACTAATCGTGTCATGAGGTTTTATACTATAGTCATATTCTTAATTTATTTGAGATTTCACATAAGTATAATAGGTCCACTTCACAGTATCACATCGCTTTAATGATCATGCATCACATTCAATTTCAATATAAGAAACACAAAACAATATAACATCATTTTCAATTCATTCGAACAAAAAACAATTTACATATTCTACTTAATAAATCATCTAAAAGATATATGTGTAAAAAAATAGATATAAAGCTTAAAGATGCAAGAAATGATATACCTAGTATTGGATGTATCTTTTTTGACTATATAACTCCTTGATAAGGCAAACACAAACAAGATTAATATTTTCTTTCTTTTTTGGACTTAGAAGATCAAACACCAACAACACATCTATCCATTGTTTCCTAATTTCTTATACTCCTTAAACATATAGTTGAGTTGAATTAGCTCAAGATTAATATTTATCTTCTAATAAAAAAAAATAATATAAAAGAGAACAAAATAATCATATTTGACACATTTTTTTATCTATTTAAGAAGAATCTAATTTATTAATTAGATTTATCACTTATTCTTATGAGTGTTGGATTTTTTTTAACATGTGGACTTAGTGTAGATCTTTGAATGTGTATCAAACTATCAATTTAATGAACTCGTTTAAAAGTAATCAAATATGGTTAAACAATATGAGAACTTAATGCATTGGATTTAAATATGAGCATGTAATGTATAAATATTATTTTTGTAATATTCTCAATTTATGATAGATAAAATAAGAATTACAAAAGTTTGTCGATATAAAAGGGAATTATGGTCCCCAAATAACAAAGTTGCCATTTTATTTTTTTAAAATCCCGTCAGTAGAAAAAAACTAGTTTCAAGATACTATATTGTTTCAAAAGATCCTATTGCCAGACGCAAATAATTCTTCCGCGATGAATTCATATATGTTTTTACTTATATTTCTCATTAATTTAGTACGAGATTTTATGTTTAGTTTTACAGATTTACGGATTTTTAAAAAAATTTTATTATAACATTTAGTATCAGAACATTTCTCGTATTGGATTTTTACGAATTTTTTTTTTTATTTTGTAATTTTGGATTTTGGATTTTATATTTTATTTTTATTTACCTAAATTCATACATATATATATATATATGTAGAAATATATGCAAAACAAATATATATATATATCTATAAGGATTAGAAATATATATATGAATATTAGAGATATATATGCAGAAAATTAAATATATATATATATGTATATATATGAAGAAGTTAAGTATTACATATGTGTATATATATTAAGGATGTATATATATATATATATATATATATGAAGTAGAAAAACAAAAAAGAAAAGAAGCAGTTGACCGCCACTGCATGAAGAATAAAACCCGACAGTTATGTATGAGTTTCGGTTGCCGAATCTCGTGCGTTAATGGCTGAAAATTTCCAACCGTTACTGTAGAATTTATTAAGCAGCCGTTACAGGCTGCATGAGGAAGAAGAAGAAGAAAGAAAAAAAAAGGTTTTGGGTTATTGAGTTTTATTTTTGTGTTTTAATTTAAGTTATGTGGGTTTGGTCCACAAGAAGAAAAGAAAGGAAGAAAATAAAGAAAATGAAGAAAAGAAGGAAAAAAAGGAGAGACCCAACCCAATCAACGAGTTGACCGACAATGATCAATAATTGACCGATCAACAGTTAGTTTTTGACCAAAAGAGAGGAGTTTTTTTGAAGGTATTTTTGTTCATTTTGTAGTTGATTTTTTTTTCTAATTCAGTTTAAATTTAATTTTAATTTTTAATTTTAATATTAGTATGTGCATGTACATATTGAAATAAATTAATTTATACAACATATTACTAAAGTGACATCTCTTATGAATAATTTATTTATTTCATAATATAAACAGTTATATGAATGTAATTTATGTAAATGTTAATCGGTTTAAAGAAAAATTAATATTTAATATTATTGCATTCCATTTTTGTGGTAATGAATATGAAACACTTATTCAGTATAACATGTGAATTTTAAATCGGCCCAAAAGGAAGGTTTATTATTTGATGTATTTTTACTGTTTGCATTTAATTACTGCTATAGGGTACATGTAATCCTCGCAATTAATTTTAAAAAATTTAAAATTAACGTATAAAATATATATTTTTAATTTATGAACTTTTTATTTAATTTAAAAATTAGAAAAAATAGGTGGATGATGAAACTAAAAACAAATTTGGGAAAAAAGAGTGAAAATTTGGGTTATGGGAGTGTTTTTGAAAGAAAAATCAGAAACTAGATGTCAAAATGCAATTTAAGAAAATGTGCTACTTAGGATCGTCCAGTCAGTAGTCTCGATGAACTAGAGCACGCCGCGTGGCAAGGCACGCTGACGGGGTGCCATGCGGGAGGCCACGCTGGCAATCCACGTGCCTGCAATCGGACGGTCCGGATTTGTTCCTACACGCGTAGACGGTCTGGATCCGTTCTCTCATCAGACGCGATCGTATGGTCAAAATCAAATTGTGATGAATGGTTCAGATTTATTTTTTATTTAAACGTGATAGGATGGTGGAGATCAAACGCGATGGATGACCTAAATTAAAGAGAGATGGATATAAATACCTCATTTCACACCGAACCCTAACCCTAGCCGTCAGCCCCTCGTCGAAGAAGAAGAACCAGTTGCCGGAGAAGGGAGCCCGCCGCCGCTCCAGAGCCACATTCGATCGCCAAAAAAGGTAAAAAAGTTTTTTTTTCGTTCGAAATTTGATTTTGAACACTCTCATAGCCAAATCGAAGTAAAATGATTAACAGATGAGCTGAAAATTACAGGTAAAGCCCAATGGTACCGCCGCGAGAAAAATAAAAAATCGCATCTGATGAGGTCCCTCTCGATTCTTATTTCATGCGATTTTTCCACCATTGTATTTGCCATTCTGTTTCCCACTGGTTGACTAAAAAAAACACCAAACCGCGAAGATGAGCTGGCGGAGTCGTCGCACCAGAAAACTCCGCCATCGGTAAGTTTCTGTTTTTTAATTTTTTCGGCTAATCGAGATCCCTTAACGTATTTTCTTGCAGGGATAAGTATAAAATTGGTCGAAACTGGCTGAAAACAGCCAGTTCGAGGCAAACTGCCGCCGCGGGCAACAGTGCCCTCACTGGACCACGACAGTGCCACCGTGCCGAAATTCCAACATTGGTCGGAAAAGAGTTTTAATATTGGTTTTGGATTTTTTAGGATATTTTAGATACTTGGAGCATATCTTAATCTTTGAAGGAAAATTTAGGGAACTCGGGGACCGCCAGTAGGTGCAGCTGAAAGTTTAGTGTTCAGATACTGATTCGTGTAAGAATCCCTCACCCTATTCCGTATTATGAAATTGAAGTTTAATTATAAATAATGTGTTATTTTGTACAATTTAAATTTTTTTGATAATTAATCACATATTACTAATAGAGGCAAAATCGGTTATTTATTACTGTTTATCATGTTTCAACTGATTGATTGATTTTACAATTTTAAATGTATGACAATACGCTGGAGTTGGTAAGATGATTCAGTTGTATTTTCTTGATGCATGTATTGCTTGTTTTGCGTGATTTACAGTTAAATTGTGAAATTAGAAATTAAATATAAATGAAAAATTGTTTCATTAAGTGAATGAATGAATGGTAGTCTTACTAGATATCTTGGGAGATGGTGGACGGACTAGGTGCATAGGGGACCCTATCGTGAACGTTGCCTCATATCGGACGAGTTATCGAGGATTGGTATTTTGAAATTTATATCGGACGGGGTATGAGGACAACCCGTTTCACTCTCATACTGGACGAGATATTGAAGGATGGTATTTTTGGCGTTCATATTGGACGGGGTATGAGGACGACCGGTTAGTTGACAATGTTGAATAAGGGTTCACGCATAGTGGAGGCATCCCTATAGACCCCCATAGATACCATAATCAGATAAAAAGGG